ATGGCCGTCCACCTCCAGATCTTTATTTAAAAACTCCACACCTATTGTGTGGAAGAGCTGAATATCGAACTTATTGGTGACATATCTGTTCATGAGTGAGCTTTTCCCAACGCCGCCGTCTCCAAGGAGAATGACTTTAAAAAGCGAGGATCGGCCTGCCATTGTTTATCTTTGACTTCAGAACTCTGTAAAATGAAAAGAAGTTGTTACATTACTCTCCATGACCAACAATTAGCACCCTTGAAAGGAAGTCACGCAGACAACTGCTGGGCACAGTTAAGAACAGGGATGGCTCTCCCCCTTTCTCCGGTGGGTTTGCTCTGAAACTGGCACTCACTCCAAAGCCCAAGTCTGAGCCTGAAGACTTTGTCCCCAGACACCACGCTGCGCAATAATCACTCTTTCCTCCCAATAAGCCCCATCACCATTTGTAACCAGTTAGTTAGGACCGAAGCTTTCTATTAAAAGTTCCAAACGGCTCATTGGGATCCCAGGGGGCACTGTTCACTGCCCGCTTTCTCCTCGTGGCAGAGTTTTCTTTACTCTTTTCTTAAAAAGTAATAACCTAAACCAAACAAGCCCACTCCACCATTTCTGAGCCAAATTTGGATTCTGAATACAGGGATGCTATGAGTCAAACTAATAAGGGAGCTGTTAAACAGGAAGGCCAGAGACAGTAGCTGACTGATCTGACTATGAAAATGAGCCAGGCACTGCACATGTGAGTGTTGGTCTGTTGTGGGGAGCGACCCCATGTATAAATAGAATACCACACTGGCTGCCCCTGCACCAGCCTCAGAATCATCGCTATGTTTGAGCACGTGGTTGCAGCCACTGTCTCAATTAGGAACACCATTTTTGAATTTGCTAAAATTAATTGTAACAGCAATATATATATTTTACCAGAATGCCATCATCTAGAACATTCTGTCTACACGATCCATTTGAGCAACTTTATCCGTAGATTTGAGCCTGTGCTGTTACTTGGGCATTCTGCGGTAGAACGAAATAAATCAGAAGTGAAGATATGGTACCACACAGACCCTTCAGGAAAGGTCCCGGGGCAGGATGGCACACATTCCTACACTACAGGGACCATCCAGGGGGAGAGATCCCATCTGCCTATCCATGACAGTGGCTACTTCTTATTCTAAGTGCTGGTGGGAGTGCTATTTCTATTTAATGCTCCTGTTTTAAATCTTCAAGCCAACACAACATTTCCAAATAAAGACAACAATGTAATCAACTATGAACCCTAAACTCAGCTTCACCAATTATGGCAAATCTGGTTTCCCTCAGAACCCCTTACTTGCTCTTCTCAAAGGTAGTTTCAATCAAATCTTACCCATTCATCTGTGAACATTTAGTATTAAGTGGCTTGTAAGTTATACTAAAAGCCAACAGAGGAAACTATGCTGCCCAATAAATAGAAATTTCTGCAATGCTGGCAATGCCACAAGCCACATGTGGCCACTGAGCACTTGGCGTTTGGCAGTGAGGAACTGAGCTTAGAGCTCCATTTAATTGGAATTGGAAGAGCCATATTGAAAGAGCCAGTCAGTATGTTAAACAGAGCAAAGGTGGTGAATCCTTGAATAGGCTAGTGACAGACTAGTTGTACTGATGAAGATGAATTCGCAAAACCACTGCAATAAGCAGTATCTGGCTCTATGCAAAGGTGAGCCGGTATACAGTAATTGAACACTTCCTGTAATGGCGAATAATTACGCCTGCTACACTCTTCTGGTAAAAAGCTGTAGCAATGGATTCTATAGGGAGAAATCAAGTCAAAGGAAATATGTGTCTTTAAAATGGGGGGGGGGGGCATAATCCCTAAATCCTACTGATTCTTCGACGTGACTGCTATAGTAATTGCCAAAGAAGGTCACATACTTTAAATCGGCCAACCAAAGTGTGATGCTATCCAGGTGCATACCTCTTGGGTGACATCCCCCCCACCCCGTTTAAATGAATGACTCTGCTCAAGGCCCAGCCTAAACTGATGCTGGAGCAGTATTCAGAACAACTCACAGCCCCAAATTTCCTAACACAGGTAAGGGCGCACTTGGACAGCTGCTTTTCTTTCTTTTGACTCTGGCTGAAACAGCTTCAACTCAGAGGAACAAATCTAAGCAACACCAAGCCTGGTGCCATCGAATGGATTCTGACTCAGAGCGACCCTATTCAGGGCTTCCGAAGCTACAAATCTTTCCAGCAGCTGACAGCCTCATCCTGTGGAAGGGCTGGTAGGTTTGAACCACTGGCATTGCAGTTTCCAGCCCGACACTGAACCCACAGTGACACAAATCATCGGGCTGGCTCACCGGCCACCCCCACCCCCCACCCCCAATTCTGAAATGCCCTGCCAAGTGGAACTAGAATTGTATTCCCACCAGCTTGTCTCTCTATTCTTCCGTGCCTTCAGGCTGGACTTGTAACTCTATGGCCACCTCACCTAACAACTGCAGGACAAGACCATCAGGTCTTTGAGGACCAAACCCCCACCTCTCCAGGAGCCCCCAGTATTTTCTGTCTGTATTACACTAACTGCCTCACATCAGACAAAACGGTGTTGTAGGTGACACAGACTTTCTAGAATCTTTAAATAAAATTCTTAAGATAGAGTACACCAGCTAACACCTAATGAACACACTCCACCCCCCAGACTGTGAGCTGAATACACATGCCAAATGAAGTCTTAAACATTCCTTGAGCTCCTAACTTATACATTCGTCAGGATACTTTGACAGGTGGCTCCCCACCACCACCCCAATAGTGTAAGATTTCTTCATAGTTTATTCTGATCAAGCAAATTTGTGGTGTGGTAAAGCCACACACCAGAAAACAGAACAATTTTTTCCCATTTCCCACCTACAATTTGGGGCCATTCAGATATGAGTATCTGGGAATGTGGTGGCATTTGTGAATGCAATATATACATGAATCTCTCTCAAAATCTAACTACCTATCGAGTCGTGTAAAAACACAAATGTCAGTCTAGTCACCAAATGACAACAAAGCGATCATCATTCAACCTTCAATAGTAACCTCACCATAATCAGTTTATAGACATTAACTGATTAAAACATCTTTTCCAAAAAACAGTAAAAGCACTGGAACTTTCTTTAGCATGAGTTTAATAAAGGATAGTATCTGTCATTTTCAAAATTTACCTTCAAATGTCAAGTCTCTTGTCTCCTAGAGTATGGGTCAACTGCCCAAAGTCAATGATCTTGGCCAATGTGAAACATTCCTTCAGCAAGTCAGCTCAATTCCTACAGAGAAAGACACGTGGGTAAGACAAGCGCAGTGCACAGAAAAGTCCTGCCTAATTGTGCAGCTCAAGCTTCCTCCTCACCCGCAGGGGGGAAAAAATGAGAAAGCTCACCTTAGCCACGTGTCTTTGATTTGTTTTCACCGTGTAACAAGAATTAAAAAATGAAAGACATCACTCGCCTTGTACTAGCAACGATCCTAAAACCAGCTAGAGTCCTAACTGCTGGTCACCTTTCTAGCCTACATGATGCCCTAAGCGTCAGATGTCAGGCTTCAATGCTCGTGTTTGCCAAACCCAGCTTTTCACCTGCCTGCCTATTCACCCTTTCCTAAATTTCACTGAGACAAAATGAGGGCAATTCTACAGTATAAGAACAGATACAGTATAAAATCTACTGTAAGCCAAGGCAAAACTGAAAGCTGTCTTGTGACTGACTGGCAGGATCCTGTCCGAAAGGAGAGCCTGTTCCTGGACCAAGGGCCTGCTGAGCAGCAGCTCATGGGTGGGGACTGCCCTAGCCACCCCTCCGGAGGCTGGTTGCCCCAGTTCACTCGGTGAGTGTTAACTGTCTCATCACAATGCCAGGCTCACAGCAGGCGGACAGGAAGCATCTGTGGAGTGACGAAAAAGGCCTCTTTTCTGATGTTATAACATTTATTCCTATACCAGGGCCTGCTTCCATGCGGGGACTGGACAGGGGTGCATGGAAAGTCCTGGATCCTAGTCCTAGGGACCAAACTCAACTCGGGGCATCCCAGCGACGCTGTGTACTAACCTCAAACCAAAGGCTTCAAACTTAAAAAAAAAAAGGCAAAGGACATTTGTGTGGGATTTACTCAGCAGTGTGTTAAATTATATACACATTCAATCAATGATAAAAATGAGGCTACTCCAAATCCTAACTTTAGGAAAAAAACATTAATAATAACGATAGCAGCTGTGAACAGTCATTGAACCCTTGTATGCTTCCTACTGTGCTCCTTGCACCTGCTCCTGGCAAGTCTACTCTCAGCCCTGTTACTAGAGCTGAGGCACCCTGGTGGCGTGGGGGTTAAAGCAGTGTGAACCCATCAGCAGGAGAAAGATGTGTCTGCTCCCTGCCTCGGCAGGCCTTGGGGGCACTTCGATTCTGTCACTGAGTCAGAACTGACTCTCTGGCAACAGGTTTTAGATCACAGATGAAGTCACTGACTCAGAGAGCTTAAGTACTTTGTTCAAGGTCACTCAGCCAGCAAAAGGTAAATAGATATAAGGTATGAATGTAGCAGACTCAACTGCCTTTGCGTTGGTTTCTGAGGATTTTAATATAATTGTCATGGGTATAACAAAAATAAGCAGTTTTCCAAGTTATAAGTCTCAACAGCATGCATTTCAAGATCTGCACAAAACCAAGTTACTCTGACAAAACTGTTAACGTCGAGTGGGAAACACATTTGAGAGTGCCTATCTTTTGTTAAAGGAGCCCTGGTGGCTCTGTAGGTTAAGCGTTGAGCTACGAACAGCAAGGTCGGTGGCTTAAACCCACCAGGCACTCCTCAGGAGAAAGAAGAAGCTGTCTGTTCCTATAAAGATTCACAGTCTCATAAATCCTATATAGGGTCCCGATGAGTCGGAATCGACTCGATGGCAGTGGGTTTGGTTGGGGGAGGATGTTTTATCCAAGAGTTTAAACCCTTTTTTAAAAGAAAGTATGAATCAACGTTCACAGTGCTCTTTTACACAGAAGTCCAGTCAGCGCTTCATGGAAGGGGCTGGAAATGTTTGCCAACAAGGATTTCCCGAGTGGCTACTGTGTGCCAGGCACCGAGGCTGTGGAACGGAACAGACACAGCCCCGGCTTGTGGAGCTGGCCATTGGGTGGGTGGTGACAGTCCTCACACTGACACATTTGAAGTGACAACTGTGTCAAATAAGGCGCGGTCCGGGGTGGAAGAGATGAAGAGATCAGTCATACAAAATTAGGAATTAAAAGATGGAAGAACTCTGACTTGTTTATAACTTGATCGTAACAATTGCTAGATTTGTCATCTAAAAAGAACTCTCCCACTCAGCCACAACCCCACAGATAACCTAACAGCGCAGGTGGGAGGCAGGGACCTGGGCCTGGGACTCCCTCGGCAGACCCGAACTACCTGCAGGCTGTCACCCACCTCAGTTATGATTCCAGCATGCAAGACTACTTCATTTTCAACAACAAAATGCTCAAGTATATAAACTCGATTGCCTAAGATCTCTGTATCTTTCCCAAAGAACAAACTCTACACAACACCAACACTTTCCCTAATTCGCACAGAAGATAAAAAAGTTAAGTATCCATGATGAGCTGTGCATATATTTGAGAACGTCTGCCAACCAAACAGCCACGTGTGGGTACAGGTGCGGGAAACCAAACCTTTGCCTTGAGACACTGAAAATGACAACACAGCAGGTGCTTCATTTCCAGCTCATGTGAGCCCCTCACCTGGCACCCGGTTCAAAGCAAAAACAGAACTTCCCGCATGCTTCGGAAGGCTGGGCTGGGGTGACCATCCTGTGAAACTTCACCGGGGTCCACTGTAGCCCATGCCTCAACCTTCTCCTGGTCCTTTTTCCTGCATGGGGCCTTTGCCTCCAGAACTGAAGGAGGACCAGACCACGGAAGGGGTATATGACCCCAGGTTTGTTCCAGGAAGTGAGGACTAGCTAAGCAGAAGGAAACCGGAAGAAGGGGGCCAGGCCAGGCACTGCCCTGTGTGGCCCAGACCACTCAGCTGTAGTGAGCTGTGGAGATAAGACCCTGAGGGAGAGGCCTGTTGGGGGACAGGGCTGAAGTAAGCAGAGGAGGTTCTGCCCAGCATTTGGGAATGATGGGGAGCAACTCCTTCCAGCAGTGGGGTGACCTGGCCGGATGTGGGCTTCTGCAAGGTAACTGGCAGTGGAAAACCTGCTGCAGGTGAGCTCGGGAAGAAGGCTGGGCCAACGCTGGCCGACTGCTGTCATGACCCCTCTCAGGTCCTGCTGGTCTCAGCTGGGGGATTGACAATGGAGGTCACTGTGCCTCCTGTGTCATCCTCCAGTGAAACATTCCCACTGTGATGTCCTGCTTCACTTGCCCCTCCCCCTTTGGGTCCCCCCTGTGGACCCCTTATCCCCCATGCAGATGCAGCTAGGCCCCATCTCCTACTCAACACCTCCCAGGCTCCTCCAGCTACGCCCCCTGTGGTGCTCCTAGCAGACTGGTCTCCACCTCTACCCTCTTCAGTTACCTTGATGCAGTGTTTCCCAGGCAGGCCGACTCCTATCAGTAAAAACCAAAGTTGCTCTCCAAAAAAGGTTACAGGTGCCAGGAAACATATTTTTATCATCATAAAAATGTCATGTCATTTTATAGACACTACTAAAAACAATACCCACTTCTTACCCTCAAACCACTTCCCTTTCAAATAGAAAATGAAACTTCACCAGAAATGGATAAAGTGGTGCAACAAGATATAATCAACCAGCCTAACCAGGGGGTGATCTGGAGGGCACTCAAGAGGGCAAAGAAGTGGGGCTACGGGACTGGTTTGGTCACCGCAGATGCAAGGGAACCAAGATAGGTTGGACACGGCAAAGAGTGGGTGCCTGGAGCAATAGCCTATATGGGGGAATGAGGCGCCGGAGGCACAGGGTGAGAACTCAGAAGCAGCACAGTGCGCCCTTTCAGGAGCTTGGTGGGGGAGATGGGATTGTTGCCAGCACTATGGAGAGTGACATACATTCAAAGTACTCAGGTCAGCCACCATCTTTGAATGGGACAGTCACGGGATCAGGCTGAGACACTGTGTGGCACATTGTCCTCACTGTCCGAGTGTACCTACATTTCTAGCAGGGCATCAACCTCTAATGTTCCCCCTTTCCATTATCAGTCCAGGTACCCATATTTTGCAAATCTGAGTCCCTTCCGGTTTCACTTCAGCCACGACTGACTGGGGAAGAGGTGATTCAAACCCCCAGTGAAATGACAACCATTCAGCAAGCCATGATCACAGGATGTAGCTGGTTACATGTTTACGTTCACATTGGGATGAGAACTGTTGAGTTCAATGTCCAAAGTTCTGATACCGTTGCAAAGCCACGCTTTCCCCCTTAATATCAAAAGTATTCTTTCTAAGCTTCACTTTCACATTAAAGTCGGGCTTGAGTGAATGTTGCCATGAAATGGAAAACGTTTTCCTTCTCCTTTTCTTCACATACAGCTTTAGTTCAAACGTCAACTCCTTTCCTCAGTTGTCCCTATGCTCCTGTGAAAAAACGAGACTCAATATGACACCAAAAGCATATAGCACAAGGGGAAAATAGATAAATTGGGCTTCAGCAAAATAAAAAAGTGTGCTTCAATGGACACTATCAATCAAATGAAAAGACAACCCACAGAAGGGGAAGAAAATGTGCAAATCACATCCAGACTATATGAAGAACTCTTACAACAAAACAATTAAAGGACAAACCAATTAAGTGAGAGAAGGCCTTGAATAGACATTTCTGCAAAGGTGGTACACAAATGGCCAATAAGCACGTGCTAAGATGCTCAGCACCTTTAGTCATCACCAAACCCAGTTCCAACTCCGAGCAACCCTACAGGGCAGAGGAGAACTATCCACAGGGGTCCTGCAGCTAGCACCTCCCCAGGATTGAGGAGGGGCAGATGGGCTCAAACTCCTGACCTTTCCATTTGCATTCAAGCGCTCAACCACTGCACCTCTATGGCTCCCTCATTAATCTTCAGGGAGATGGCAATTAAATACACAAGGTGTCTCCTGACTTCACACCCAAGAAAGATGAGACTTTCTACTCCCGTAAAGCATCTCGGGAGGGTAGGGTGAAAAGGGGAAACTGACTATAAGGATCTACATATAACCCCCTCCGTGGGGGACGGACAACAGAAAAGTAGGTGAAGGAAGATGTCGGACAGTGTAAGATATGACAAATTAATAATTTATAAATTATCAAGGGTTTGTGAGGGAGGGAGGAGCAGGG